GGCGCGCTCGGCGCGCCTGGGGCCGCTGAATCCCCTGCTGGAGCGCGGGCGCACCAGCGGCTAATCGGCCTGGGAGGGGTGGGGTGGGGTTTCTCCGTCTGTCCGTTTGTCCGCCGCTGGGGGGAGGGAGCCAGGGAATGGAAACGGGAGCGAGGGAGGCAGGGAGGGAGGGAGGGAGGGAGGAAGAGGGGGACGATGATGATTTCGACGATGATTTCGATGATGATTTCGATGATGATTTCGATGATGATGATGATGATGATGATGATGATGATGATGATGATGCTGATGCTGATGATGATGGTGATGGTGATGATGATGACGACGACGCCCACGACGATGCTGGTGCTGATGCTGATGATGATGAGGATGATGATGATGAGGACGACGACGATGATAATGATGAGGAGGAGGACGATGATGATGATGATGATGAGGAGGACGACGACGATGATGATGGTGATGATGAGATGATGATGATGCTGATGATGATGATGATGATGCTGATGATGATGATGATGAGGATGAGGATGGTGATTGTGATGATGATGCTGCTGCTGATCATGATGAGGATGCTGCTGTTGTTGATGATGATGATGATGATGATGATGATGATGATGATGATGATGATGATGAATGATGATGATGATGATGATGATGATGATGATGATGATGATGCTGATGATGATGATGATGATGATGATGATGATGACTGATGATGATGATGATGATGATGATGATGATGATGATGATGATGATGATGATGATGATGATGATGATGATGATGATGATGATGATGCTGATGATGATGATGATGATGATGATGATGATGATGATGATGATGATGATGATGATGATGACGATGATAGTGATGCCGATGCTGATGCTGATGCTGATGCTGATACTGATGCTGATGCTGATGCTGATGCTGATGCTGATGAGGATGAGGAGGAGGAGTACGAGGAGGAGGTGGAAGAGGAGGAGGGGGAGGAGGAGGAGGAGGATGAGGGGGAGGAAGAGGAGGAGGAGGAAGAGGAGGAAGAGGAGGAGGGGGATGAGGAGAAACATTAATTACGTAGGAATATTTCGAAGGATTTTGGAGGAGGAAGATGATGATGATGATGATGATGATGAGGAGGAGGAAAAAAAGGAGGAGGATGTGGGAGGAGGGAGCAGTGGTGGCGACGATGATGATGGTGATGATGCTGGTGCTGGTGATGATGATGATACAGAGGATGATGCTGATGAAGATGATGACGATGTTGATGATGATGATAATGGTGATGAAGCTGATAATGATGAGAATGATGCTGATGCCGACGCTGATGATGAGGATATTGATGATGATGCTGATGATGATGCTGATTAGGATAATGATGCTGATGATGGTGAGGATGATGGTGGTACTGGTCATGATGATGCTGATGCTGTAGGATGCTGATGCTGATTCTGATGCTGATGTCGATGCTGATGCTGCTGATGATGATGATGATGATGACGCTGGTGATGATGAGATGCTGATGATGAGGCTGATGATAATAATGATGATGATGAGCATGCTGAGGATGATGATGCTGGTGATGATGATGATGATGATGCTGATGATGACGATGACGACCACGACGACGCCGATGATGATGCTGATGATGATGATGAGGACGACGACGACGACGACGACGATGATGATGATGATGATGATGATGATGATGAGGACGACGATGACGAGGATGATGATGATGAGATAATGATGATGGTGATGATGATGATGATGATTCTGATGATGGTGCTGATGGTGATGCTGATGATGATGGTGGTTGTGATGATGATGATGAGGATGCTGATGCGGATGATGATGATGATGCTGATGATGATGATGATGATGATGATGATGATGATGATGATGATGATGATGATGATGCTGATGATGATGATGATGATGATGATGATGATGATGATGATGATGGTGCTGATGATGATGCTGATGCTGATGATGACGAAGATGGTGATGCTGATGCTGATGCTGATGCTGATGATGATGCGGAGGAGGATGAGAGGAGGAGGAGGAGGAGGAGGAGGAGGAGGAGGAGTACGATGAGGAGGTGGACGAGGAGGAGGACCAGGATGAGGAGGAGGAGGAGGAGGGGGAGGAAGAGGAGGAGGAGGAAGAGGAGGAAGAGGAGGATGAAGGGGATGAGGAGAAGCATTAATCACGTATGAAGAATTCGAAGGAGTTCAGAGGAGAAGGAGGATGATGATGAGGATGATGAGGAGGAATAGAAGGAGGAAGAGGATGTGGGAGGAGGGCGCAGTTGTGGCGACGATGATGATGGTGATGATGCTGGTGCTGGTGATGATGATGATGATGATGATGATGATGATGATGATGATGATGGTGATGATGATGATGATACTGAGGATGATGCTGATGAAGATGCTGATGATGTTGATGATGATGATGAGAATGGTGATGAAGCTGATAATGATGAGGATGTTGCTGATGTTGATGCTGATGATGTGGATATTGATGATGATGCTGATGATGATGCTGATTGGGATGCTGATGCTGATGATGGTGAGGATGATGGTGGTACTGGTCATGCTGATGCTGATGCTGTAGGATGCTGATGCTAATTCTGATGCCGATGCCGATGCTGATGATGATGATGACGATGGCGATGATGAGATTCTGATGATGCTGCTGATGCTGATAATGATGATGATGATGCTGAGGCTGATGATGCTGATGATGAGGATGCTGATGCGGATGCTGATGATGATGCTGCTGAGGATGATCAGGATGATGAGGACGTTGGTGATGGTGATGATGATCACGATGATGATGATGATGATGATGATGATGATGATGATGATGATGGTGATGATGACGATGGTGATCTTGATGGTGGTGCTGATCATGATTCCGTTGCTAATGCTGATGCGGATGATGAAGATAATGATGATGATAGTGGTGATGATGATGCTGTTGATAATTCTGATGACGACGATGATGAAACTGATGACGATACTGATGATGCTTCTGCTGCCGATGCAAATAATGATGATAGCGAGGAGGACGTTGATCATGATGAGGATGCTGATGATTGTGATGATGCTGATGATGATAAGCATGACGATGATCATCCTGATCATGATGCTGTAGATGGTCATGATGACGATGATGATGATGCTGTGGATATTGATGCCGATGACGATGAGGATGATCATGATGACTATGATGTTGATGATGCCGATGATGCTGCTGCTGATGATGATGCTGATGATGCTCATGATGATGACGACAGGGATGGTGCTGACGCTGATGATTACGACGACGATGATGTTGACGTTGATGATGATGATGATGATGATGATGATGATGGTAATGCAAGTGGTTCTGATGATGCTGGTGGTTATGATGATGCGGATTACGATGATGATGTCGATGATGATGATGATGATGATGGTAGTGGTGGTGATGATGGTGGTGATACTGATGATGATGATGATGCTCATGCTGATGATGCTGCTGATGCTGATGCTGATGCTGATGCTGATGATGATGATGCTGATTATGATGCTGATGTTGATGATGATGATGATGATTATGATGCTGATGCTGATGTTGATGCTGTAATAATGAAGTTGCTGGTTGTGATGATGATGATGCTGATGATGACGACGACGATGCTGATGATGATCATGATGATGCTGATGATGATGATGATGATGATGATGATGATGATGATGATGATGGTGATGGTGATGGTGATGGTGATGGTCATGATGATGATGATGATGATGATGATGATGATGATGATGATGATGATGATGATGATGATGGTGGTGGTGATGATGATGATGATGATGATGATGATGATGATGATGATGATGATGATGATGATAAGGAGGAGGAGGAGGAGGAGGAGGAGGAGGAGGAGGAGGAGGAGGAGGAGGAGGAGGATGGTGGTGTGGGGGGTGATGTGGCTGATGATGATTGATGAGGGGAGGAGGAGACGGCTAGGATGATGATGTTGGTGGCTGTTGGTGGCGGTGTTGATTGTGATGTGGAAGTTGATGGCGATGGTGATGGTGACAGTAATGGTGATGGTGATGATCGTGAGGAGAGGGAGGAGGCGGATGAGGAAGAGGGCGAGGAGGAGGAGGAGTAGGAGGAGGAGGTGGAATGGGGGAAGGGGGAAGGAGGGAGGAGGAAGGAAGGGGGTGGAAGGAGGAAGGAGAAAGGAAGACATTGAAAGAAAGTAGGTAGGAAGGAGGGAGGAGGAAGAGGATGAGGAGGAGGAGGAGGAGGAGAAGTAGGAGGAGGAGGGGGAGGAGGGGGAGCAGGAGCAGGAGGAAGAGGAAGAGGACGAGGAGGAGGAGGAGGAGGACTTGGTCAGTGAGAACCCAAGGCGCATCAACGATGTTGCAGCAAACTTTCCCTCCGTGTGTCATTTAATTGGTCACATACAAGAAGTAGCTTACACTGCTGGAAGTGCCCCGTTGGAGCACAACCGTTAGAGAATTTTACTCGTGCCAAAACACCATTCTTTGGACGACAACACTGCGAATCAACTTTATCGTGGGGTCCGGACGATCCTGCATCGTGCCAGCATGCCGTTCCTTTCAGCGACTCAAATTTGCCCAGAACCCTAACTCGTGCCGGGCTACCATTTCTGAGACGCGGCTATATTAGTTCAGTTGAGCGGGTGTTTTTTTTTGAAGACTAATATGTACGGCGCTAGGGCGAGAGCCCGATTTTGAAAAGGATCCGCCCTCAATCCGAGAAATTCTGGCAACTTTTTAAGACGAGTGTGCGCGGCGCTAAGGCGAGAGCCACATGTTGACCGCCCTCCATCGGTGAACATCTCACACGCATTTAACACGAGTGTGTGCGGCGCAAAGGCGACAGGCACATGTCGACCGTCCTCTATCCCTGCATATCATACAAACATTGAACACGAATGTGCGCGGCGCAAAGGCGATCGATCACATTTTTGAAACGACCTGCATTCCATCAGCCAAACCGTTGCGAACTTTTACATTGAAAGCGACCGGCGGTAAGTCGAG